TCCTGCTGACTCAACCACTGTTCCGCTTTGGCACAAGGGAAGAAGAGGCAGATACCTCTGCAGAAAATGACCTGGTTGCTTCTTCCACCGTCCAGAATGAGGATTCCCCCTTTGGCAGGCATGGACCTTACAACCCACCAGCTGAGATCTGCCAGCATCCTTAGCTTTGTTCCTGTACCTTTGACGCAGCTTTACAGGCAGAAATTGAGCCGGGGGGGGGAGTTTCTCCAGCATACCTAGTGGTTTGGGGTTTTTTACATTAAAGGTCATTGAATCATAGAGTAGGAAGGGACCCCCAGAGTCCTCTCTTGTATGTGGGACTACATAACAGCCGTGGCCCCGAATTGTTTAATCTCCGGGCGTTTATGTGGGCACTGCGAGCTCGGTTCGAAGATGTAAATGCGAACCAAAGAGCTAAACACTTTCTACGCACCTTCAAACAAGGCCTGGAGAAAAATATCTTCATGATACTGAAGTGGCAATAAGCATTTCCCTGACCGTGTAAGAAAGGGCCACATTCAGCTTTGGGCTGCCCTCACTGGCAGTCTTCAGCATTTGTTAGGGATGCTTTAGGTTGGTCATGCATTGAGTAGGGGGTTGAACTAGAATGCCCGTATGGCTCTTCCAGCTCTATGATTCTAAATGCTACATCAGCTGATATTTTCTCTTGGTCAGTCTATGGCTAAAGGCTAAAGGATCATGGTCAGTAGAAAGAGCAGCTGTCAGCCCTACACTAACACACCCCCCCCCAATGTTACAATAATTTCCTATGTAGTGGCCCAAATTGGAAAAAAGTACAGAAGAGAGCAAACAAGAGAATTGAGGGATTGGTGCACCTTTCCTGTGAGGAAAGTCTGGGACTGTTCAATTTAGAAGAAAGATAGCCGGGGTGGGTGGATGTGGGGTAGAGATTTATGAAATGATGCATGAGGGTAGAGAAGGTGGATAGAAAGAACTTCTTCTCTGTTTCCCATGTAACTGGGACTTTATTCCATCCTCACTTAGCCTGGAAGACAGCTTCCTGCCTTGATCTAGCCTTCCAGATCATGTGGAGCTATACCATGGTGACCTTGAGGCTAGACTACTTTAAAATGTTCTCCATGGGTCTGCCCTTGAAGTCCCCTTTCTGTTACCAGGTTCTGCCAATGGGTAAAGACTTATTTTTGTTTCTTTTGACATTCCTTCAGCGATCCCTCCTTCCTGCCTAGTGTTTGAATTGTTGTCTGGATGTTCTATTTGTTTTAATTATGCTGTTTTTGCTGTTCAATTATTTTAAGACATGTTTTCATTATGTATGTTTTTAATTTGTCAGCTGCCTTCATAGTCATTATGAGGGTAGAAGGATGGGCTATAGATTTTGTAAAATACAAATGATAAAATAATCTTTGAAACTCCAGCTGGTATAGAATGTCACATCCAGGCCCATAGCTAAGGTGGGGCCTCCCGGGGCCTGGCCCCCTGACTTCCTCCCAAGGTCCCCTGACTTCCAGGGAGAAGCGAGGGGAGGCTGTGCACACCTGCACTCCAAGCTGTGAATTCGCAGCTTGGAGTGCAGATGCACGGCTCCTGCTTCTCCCCCAAAGCATTTAAACTTCAAATGCCTTGGGAGAGAAGCGGGGTGAGGCCCCACGTGCGCCTGAACTCCAAGCCATAAATTTGCAGCTTAGAGTGCAGGTGTGCAGGTGTGCTCCATCCACTTCTGCCTCAAAGCATTTTAAGGGGCCCTTTATGCTTTGGGGGAGAAGCAGGGGCCGCACATGAATTTCAGTGCCCCCCTGGACTTTTTAAAAGCCCCCCCCCCAAATGGAAAAATCCTGGTTATGGGCCTGGCCACAGCTTGATTGCTATCAGGAGCTCAATGGAGTGCCCATATTACTCCTATTCTGCAGACGCTGTATTGGTTACTGATTAGTTCCAAGGCTCAGTTCAAGTATCCGGTCATCACCTAGAAAGCCC